TCAGTGTGGTCCCTAGGGCACACCTTGCCAATCGGGACCCGAGACGTCCTGTGTAGTTTTTGTGAAAACCTGGTCCATATTGCGCGGACCAGGAGTGCGTGACATACTCAGACGGGCTGTTTGGCTTTGCTAGCCCCCAGCGCTCGATAACTCGCCTGGTGTTATTGAGCCGGTCTTGACACCGGGCTCAGGAGGATGAGGGATGACAGAGTGCGGTAAATGCAGGGCAAGTTTGGTATCACTGTAAAAAAATTCACGCTCAAGTCACTGTGCCTACGCTCAGCATGACGTGGGGCACACGGTGGACATCGCCGTCCAAATAGTTGTAGTGGAGCAAGCTAGGGCTTGTTCCAAGCGATTAATTTAAAACCTAGCTCATGATCTTCTGTGGTCACTCTCCGAGGATGATTGCGCTCTTTCAATCTTGTCTTCATTGATGAATATTTTCCGATTATCATGATATATTGCCTAGTAAAACGAGTCGCAGTTACTGCAGGCGGACAAACGGGACTTACCAAAAGGACGCAGTTTGATTATCATTCCATTTGTACTGGTAAAGGACGTTTTTTTCTCATTCCCAGACGGTCACCAGATGGTCAATAGACTTTAACTCCATGACCTGAGTTTTACGACCGAACGTTTCTGCGGTCATAGTGTGTACGGTTGTCGCTGAATACAGATTTTGAAACAGACAACTAAACATCCATTGCCATTTGTACCATCAACACACCTAATGAAGGACCTATTCCAATATAGGAGTCGTAAGAGGGAGAGAGGAGTCTATCTAAGAAAACAGAGTTTTGCTGGTTTTAGCGTTTTATCCTTAGGCAGTGTATCGAGAGCATTTGAGGAGATTGCTGTTCATCGTCGTTGTCTGTGCATCATTTCGGTTGGGACGGGTGCGGACCTCCTGATTGGTTAGTCATTATTAGCATTCACGCCCATTTCAACCAATTACAGTGGAGGGGACCGGTCCAACTGCGGCCGCACACCTGAATACTACCTATTGCTGGTCTGTGAGTCATTTGTCGCAGTAGCATTCTCACCATGTGAGATTTAGACTGTCCATATTGCAGCCTGGTACATGTAGTTGGAATTGGATCGCACACGGGACGCGTAGACGGGCTGATTTGTCAGCCGCTGTGTCGGCGCCCACCTCCGATCGTCTTGACTGCGTCTTCTCATTGAAGCAAGGTGGGTGAGGCGGGAGAGACTGTGGAAGTCGATGCTCAAAGAAGACTCCTCGTATTCTCGCCCGAATCCATCATCAGAGACAGTCAGATAGGGGTAGTGGATTGCCCAGGTGCTGCAGTATTTATGTGATGTAGTTTCTAGGCCGCTACATGCCTATCACAGCTGGCAGCTCCTCAGTACATCACGGTTCGACTGGCCAGGTGTTAAAGTAGAGTAGATGTGCTAACTCATGTAATGTCAACCAAAATTTCGAAATGTGTTCTCCTTTCGAAAAGATAAATTAAGTGGTGTTGTAAAACTAATCAAGATGCAGCAGTAATCTATAATGACCCAGTTACCTCAGGGTGTCGGCTTTCGAAAGAACTTATTTTCGGCTGCATGCAAGATCTATACTCTGCAAAAAATGACTACTTATGTAGCATGCAATTTTCTCATTGATTTTCCTTGCCCTTGAAAATTCAATTATAGTTCACGGAAAACATGCATAAAAAGATTCATTCTTTTACTTATTCGGTAGAAAATCACGTCTTCTTCCAATTTTATTTTCGAAAGAAGAGTATAATTTGGTTTCAAAAAAGTTTCTAATTGTGAGATGTTTTAATACCGCTAAACGTCCGTTCA